GTAATTACAATGATTGCAAATCAATGAAATGTTCTAATTGAAAGACAAAGTTTGTAGGCTACTTCTATTAACAAGAGACACATCTAATATATTAGGACGTGGAAAGATAAAAAGTAATAGAACGGAAAAAGATACACCATGTTTACACCACCGAAGACAAAAGGTGGTCTCCTGGCATTAATAGACTTTAAGGGGAAGAAGTGTTACTAAGGATAAAGAGGATCACTCCCTCAGTGTGGGAGGGTCTCCCAGAAGATTTCCCATCTTGGGTGGGCCCTAGGTCCTGACTAGGACCGGTATGGAGCGAGCTAGAACTAATGAGTAGTTCCTGTGTCAGCGAGTGTCCTCGAGGCAGAGGTGATTTGGGTTCTCTGATATTCGGTTCATTCCTCTGATGATAGCCTTTTCTCTAGAAGTAGGCTTGGGAATTCCTACCTTTTACAACCCAGCATTTTTGTTGTGGTTATTTCTTTCAGCAGGAACGTTGATCTGAGGAATCTCGTCTGCCATTTCCAGAAATCAGAACTATACAATTACATATGCATATAATTTAAATAGCCACGTGGGGAACTCTGTTTTTGGTAGTCTTGGGCAAGCTTTTCAGACCATCAGTCCTATTTAAAACAGAATAAAAATGCTAGAAAGAAGTCTAGTCTGGGGGGATCTTCTAGACTAAATCCTAGAGAAAGCAGGAAAGCAGAGAGGTAAGTGGAGCCCTGCCACTTTTGCCCCGAGAGCTTCCTGTGTGCTTGATACGGCTGAGCTGTTGTTTGGACTGAAGTGGACAGAAGTCAGGGCCCGGGGATAGCTCAGGTTGGGGATTCAGCAGGAGAGCTATTTAACCAAAATCTACACTCTCAGGATAAGGGTGAGCCAGAACCAGATGTACCACCTCCTTACTCAGAGATATCAAACAAATAAGGAAACAGGCTTTCCTGGAATTAATTTATTCAGTGAAATCCTAATAAAATCTAAGCAGGCTTTTTTTTTTTTTCCTTCTTATTTAATAATTTGATAACCCAATTCAAAGATATATATATGGCAATGCAAAAGGTGAGGAGAAAAAAAATGATGAAAGGACTTACTCTGTCAGATATCAAGACTTACAAGGTTATAATGAGAATATGGTATTGGTGCAGGGATAGATAAAAGCAGACTAAAGCCAAAACCAAACGAAACCCATTGCTGTCAATTCCGACTCATAGCGACCCTATAGGACAGAGTAGAACTGCCCCTTAGGGTTTCCAAGGAGTGCCTGGTAGATTCGAACTGCTGATCTTTTGGTTAGCAGCGGTAGCTCTTAGCCACTATGCTACCAGGGTTTAGCAATCCTTTATTCTTAAAATACTTATGTTTCATGTGGATAAACTGTTCTGTAAGCACTAAAGATGCAGAGGTGACAGTCACTGCCCTCAGAGGACTTAGTGGGAATACAAAACTCCAGTTGCTCTCAGAGAAGAGTCTGACCACTAAATACGTCTTTGAAGATGTTTTCATTCTCTTGCCTGACCTGCATTAGCCTAATAGCAAAACCAAACAAAGATAGTACAAGGCAAGAAAACCAGAGACTAGTATCTCCCATGAACATAGATACAGAAAGTCTAAACAAAATTTTAGCAAATCAAATTCAGCAATATATAAAAAGGAAAATACATCATGACCAAATCGGGTTTATTCAAGGAGAGCAAATGTTGGTATTACATTGGAAAATCAAACAAGTGTAATTCACCATTTAAACAAATGCATGCGTGTGTGCAC